TGCGCCACGGTCGGGAATGGTCGCCTGTTGGTCGGGAGTTTTCGCCTGTTGGTCCTGTAGGTTCGGGGAGATTTCGTTTAACACCCAAATTGAGCAAAAAAAGGCCGCAGGCAAAAAACACGCGCAACTGCCCCAAAAAGCAATTCGTAGCGAAAAAGCGGAAATTTTAAGAATGCAGGAAGATCCAGGTATCGGTTAAACGAAGCTATTAGATCTTATAGATAAGATTCGGGGCATATCTCTGCCTGTCCGTAGCAATTTTGGTTAAACCGGCCCAAAGTTTGGCGATGCGGAAAATTGGGAGTCGTGACTTCCTTATCAATTTGGTTTTCTTTGCACCTGGGATGTTTTCTGGTCGAGTCCGGCAATCACCTCCTAGTCACGGGAACGGCGGGGCAGCGCCAAGACAAGCACATAACAATCCATGTCCCACTGGCGCATGCGTGTTCTTGCAGCCCGTCTGCATCACTGCTCTCGGGCTCGGAGTCGGACGCATTCACGTACGTAGGCAAAGCCTGTGGCATGTCGACATCAGAATTCGGCGTGCTGTGCGCTTTGTGTCTCTGTCTCTCTTTGTCTCTTAATTCTCTGTGTGTGTCTCTGTGTGTGTCTCTGTGTGTGTCTCTGTGTGTGTCTCTGTGTGTGTCTCTGTGTGTGTCTCTGTGTGTCTCTGTATGTCTCTGTGTGTCTCTCTGGGTCTCTGGGTCTCTGCGAGTCTGTGAGTCTGTGAGTCTCTGGGTCTCTGGGTCTCTGGGTCTCTGGGTCTCTGGGTCTCTGGGATTCTGGGTCTCTGGGTCTGTGGGTCTCTGCTCCCAGGCTGGCTAGAAGGGCCGTTTGTTTCGACATCGACCGAAACTCATTCAAGACGTTTCCTGGCCTGGGTCTCTGTGTCTCTGTGTGTGTCTGTGTCTCTGTGTCTCTGTGTCTCTGTGTCTCTGTCTCTCTGTGTCTCTGTGTCTCTGTGTCTCTGTGTCTCTGTCTCTCTGTCTCTCTGTCTGTCTCTCTGTCTCTCTGTCGCTGTGTCGCTCTGTCGCTCTGTCGCCCTGTCTTTCTGTCTCTCTGTCTCTCTGTCTCTCTGTCTCTCTGTCTCTCTGTCTCTCTGTCTCTCTGTCGCTCTGTCTCTCTGTCTCTCTGTCTCTCTGTCGCTCTGTCGCTCTGTCGCTCTGTCTCTCTGTCTCTCTGTCTCTCTGTCTCTCTGTCTCTCTGTCTCTCTGTCTCTCTGTCTCTCTGTCTCTCTGTCTCTCTGTCTCTCTGTCTCTCTGTCTCTCTGTCTCTCTGTCTCTCTGTCTCTCTGTCTCTGTCTCTCTGTCTCTCTGTCTCTCTGTCTCTCTGTCTCTCTGTCTCTCTGTCTCTCTGTCTCTCTGTCTCTCTGTCTCTCTGTCTCTCTGTGTCTGTGTCTGTGTCTGTGTCTGTGTCTGTGTCTGTGTCTGTGTCTGTGTCTGTGTCTGTGTGTGTGTGCGTGCGTGCGTGTTAGTGTGTTGTCATATTGATTGCGAAACGTGTGTGGGAATAGAGACACACGTAGCATCAAGAACAAAAAAGGCGCACAGGCATGGCCAGCAGGCATGCTCGTTTTTCCTTCCATAAACAGCATATATCGGTGAGACGGCAGAATCGCACGACAGGGCTGCTGGGATGGATTCGTTGCATTGCGCGCAGCCGCAGCAGGCCAGTCTATTGGTAGATGCAAAGGCGCTGCGGTCAAGGCGTGGCAGCTTGTTGCTGCAAACAGCCGACGCGGCACACGCAGAGTGCTAGTGGCAAGCTCTCGCAGCACATCAGCGTTATCAAGTCAGGCCCAAAGACTGCTTTTTTGGTCGGGCCCTTCCACAGCAGGCATGTACATAAAGCGCGCGCTCCCAGATCGCAGGGCATACAAGAAGGCATCAAACTCATTTGGCGCCTTGTTCTCGAGGCAGTTCATGCGGTGCAGCGCTGCGAGGGGCGGCAGGCCGCGAAGGCGCGGATGTTGGTCGATCCACTGTTGCATGGCAGCTTCGTCTGCACAGAGTTGTCAAAGAAAGTCGGCAGGCGGATTTGTGCATGGATCCACTCGCGAGCCCGGAACAACCCGTGCCGTCGGACCACGAGACAAAACCCCCACGGTCCGGAGCCTCCAAAAAAGCAAACAAATCGAGTTTGTGCGAGCCTGCGCAGCCGAAACGCACTTGTACATCAAGCAAAAGCAGGAATCTGCGGTAAATACCACGCGAAATGCTCGCGGACAGAAGTCGACACCTCACTTTGTGCGAGCCTGCGCAGTCGAAACGCATTTGAACATCAAACAAAAGCACGAATCTGCGGTGCATATCACGCAAAACGCTCGCGGACAGAAGTCGCCAACTCACTTTGTGCGAGCCTGCGCAGTCGAAACGCACTTGGACATCAAATAAGCACGCAATATGATGGCAAATGAGCAAATTTGCGTTTGCCTTACAGATTGTTTTGATGTCCAAGAACAATATTCTTGGACAATACTTAGAAGCGATTTTATGAAATGAACCGTACTCAAGCATATCAATTCGGACATGATTTACAGTGCGCTGTGGAGACTAGCCGTGTCCTTAGCTAAACCTACTGGAACCTTGTATATAGCACTATTGGCCACCTCCCGGCTTTCTACAACATCCGAGGCACGGCCCATCACCTTAAAAAAAAAAGGGAGCATCCTGCTAACTTTACAAGTGCATTAGCTTTGGCCGTGTCTTGATTCCGGATTCGGGGAAAAACCCGAAGAAACCTTTTAGCCACCTCCGGGATTTCTGCAACATCTTAGGCACGGCCATCCATCACAACAAACCCCGAGAAAATCCGGGAGCCCACGATCCAAGCAACTAGCTTGGTGATACAAAGAATACGTCGAATGCGTCGCCACGAGATTCATTATGATTGTTAGTGGTGTTAAGGAGCTCTGAATTTGGGGAAAATCCGGCTTCTAGCAGTTTGGGAATATCCGGGGGCTGGCGCCGGATCCGGGAAAATCCGGACGCAACCTGCTGGAACCTACTTCCAAGCGCTATTGGCCACCTTCCGGATTGCAACATCATGGGCGCGACCAGAACCCGGAAATCCGGAGTCTCTTGAAAGATATATATCATCATCGAAAATCCCCAGCATCCCCAGCATTCATCATGATAATCATGTCCACGTATCTTGTTGCATTTGGTCTTAGATCATAATCATAATAATATATCGTTCCCGTTCCGTAGTAACCTTTTATCACCCTTCTCCATTATGCACAGGTATATATATTGCAACTTGTTTCCGCGGCTACAGTATTGTCAGCTGTTACCATGCATTTCTGGGCTGTGCTTTTTGCGCTGCTCATTAAAATAAAAGGAATATCGCGGTCTATAAATATTCGATCATCCTCAATTATCGTCACTCCCAGGTTAACATGTGTGTAGCAATCGTAACGGCCCTTGTTAGCCCTTTTCCACGAAAACAGCCCCGGATGTTATAGAAATCCGGAGATGGCAAATAATTCGGGTCTAGGATCGGAATAATCATTATTAAATATTTTTCAGAAACACCAATATCCTATACAAATACATGAAACCGAACTTCACAGGAAATCACTCAATATGGTTTGGTTGCCAGAGTTACATCATCATAGTGTATATAATACCATTAATTTTTTTTTATATATCAAATTGAGATTCCATTTGTTGTTCAAATAACATTAGGTGGGAAATCGAAGATAATGTCATTCGTACAACAAAAATAACGTTCTATCCGGCAAAGAGGCCGGGAGGACTTCCGGGTGTTTTATAACTAGATGGAATATTATCTCCAGGTAATAATATAAAAATATCAAGGATTTTTTATGTCTTTTTGTTTATAAGCAAAACTTAAGAAAAAAATACAAATAGTAAGTAACAAAAATTAAAACTATTATTTCGTTTATATCCAGACCATAACAAAGCTCGTTCCCATTCCATAAAAACCATAATCTTGTTTTGTTTATTAAATACTCAATATAATTCCTTCATTGCTTACAAATATATATATATATATATATTACAATTAATTAAATATTTAGTATTTATATATTTCTATCGATACTCTTTACATTACTCATCTCATTACAATATTATCAAATTTCAATATTATCAATTTTTAAATCACATTATACATATATAGAATTATTATTAAATTTATATTAATTATAAACATTTCTATTAATAAAACCAAAATAAAAAAATATTATTTTTAATATTTAATTATTTTTATTAATAATTATATTAATCAAATATTAATTAATAATAATTAAATTAATTCTATTTAAATAAACATCAATTTCCAATAAATAAAATTATAATTATTCCTAACAATAAATTTTACCCTTCTATTCTATTAAATATTATAATATTCAATTTTCATTTTTATTTTAAAACAAAATAATTTTCATTATATCTAATATTTTTTTCTAAATACATTAAACCTCCCCCCCCCTTTTTTTAATAAATTACATTTGTATTTATTAAATTAACATTTTAATAACCATATACAATACCTAATATTTCATTACTTTTAATATCCATTAATTTAAACATCATATTTACATAATATATATTCATTCTAATATAATATGGATTATTGTTTTGTTCTATCCAATATTCTACAATTTATTCTAAAAATACCATATTCTAAAAAATAGAATACTTTTATACATTTGTTCCATCTACTATTCCTATTCTTGTTGTTGTTATTATTGTGTTGCCATGTCTACTCACCTAAATAAGCGCGTATTAGAGTTTACCCTGGGAGGATCGTATATCAGGAATCATTACTCCGTTACCATATTAAAGTGAAAGTAACTATATCAAACCTATGTGTGTCAATGCAGCACTATTATCTCTGTCAAGGGCTATAATGGATCTGTAGGCTCAAGACCTTGATATACAAAGGCATCAGGAGAATGGCACTGATCTGCTTTAACACACATGCGGTTTGTTTGACAATGAGAACCACCTCAATATTGATACATCATCGTTTTTTCAGATCAATAATTCTGGCGGCTTCACTTGCTGCTGTCTCCATAAGTGTCCCGAAAGCCAGCGAGAACATCTACAAAGAGAAGCACAGGGCATACGGCTTCCAACAGCCACCCCGAGAAGGGCGAGCACGAGGTTGACAAGCAAACACTTACCTGCTGGGAAATACTTGCACTCGTCTGCCCGAGAACCCAGCAGGTGGCACTGGACACAAAGCACGGTTGACATCATGCCCCACCAACCAGCGCCCTCGTAGATGACCAAGTCGTGCGTGGATCCAACTTGAATCCCAACCCACCAGCCATCAACAAGTCGAGCCGACTGCTCTGGAAACAAGGTCCTCGGTGGCTTGTCATTCATGCCAGCCCGAAATCTGAACCTTCCCATGAATTCAGATTTACAAATTTACAAAAAGCAACTCTTAGAACACTGGACAGTCGAGGATCTGGAATGTCTGATGTAAAGGAGAAGTGGCAATCCCATTCTTCCACAAGGTCCAGTGGCCAAAACTCACAAAGTGCACCAGAGGGGGCAAGGTCTGAGTTGGGCTCACAAGTACACGCCCATTTTGCAGTGTTTGATCGTCCAAGCCGTAAAGGGCACAAAGCAAGGTGCAGTTCTGATCCAAGAGCACCAGATCAGGATGGTCTCTGCGATATCGCTGATACCAGCCCTGGTCATTGATGTCTTCCGGCACTTGCTCTTGCAACATCCTCTCGATGGCATGCGCTCGTCCAATGAAAAGCCCTGCGTTCAAGAAGCGCCACCGGCTGCTGGGGGCAGCTGGGGTTGCTTCACAGATATTTTCAATATCTGGATAGCAGGCTGCCTCGGCATTGAACATGATGCTCTTGTTGAATGCAGTTTCCAACCCGAGAAACTTCTCCACGATCTCGGATTCATTTCCCATCACCTCAAATACCCAACAAAAGAAACCAAGAACCCGCTCAAACAGCCGACAAGTGGGTCAAAATGTACCCTCCAAACTGTGTGGTTTGCTTTGGCTTTCCAGAGAGTGTTAGTTCCCAAAAAGACGGCCCCAACCCAAGCCCGAAAACCGCCATCCCCCGCCAACAAAAAACAAAAAAAGAGGCTATTCGGGCAGCGGTGCCAGCACATCAAAGGCATCCGCACAGATCACCAGGTCCTGGGGGTTTCTGCCAGCCACAAAACGGCGCAGAGCGTTGATCTTGGCCCCCAACCCGTCCGGCATATAGGCTCGTGTGCCCAGCCCCATCAGCTGCACCTTCTGACCATCCCTTTCTTCCCTACAACCCATTCCTTTCTCAGTGCATCCCAGTTAGGCAACCAGCGTTTTCCTTTTGGTCTTTAAAGGGCGGTTCCCTTGGTTACCTACTATACGGGCCAACTGATCCACTGGGTTTAAGGGATCCAACTTGGATGTGCAACCCACTTGGCATAGGTTACAAATGGGCCAGGGGTTGGTTTGCCATTGCAACCCACCGAAGATGCACAACTTGGACACCCACTTGCGCAGCAGCTTAGGCTATAACTGGGACAGGAGTTGGTTCACTTATTGTACCATGGCCACCTGAATGGGTTCACTGCCCAAGATCCAAGACTAAGGCTCACTTCCAGAGTGGATTGGTTCAAAAGTCACAGAACATTCTTTAACCTACGCTCCTAAAATGGCAACCAAAGCCAAACAGCGACTCAAGTCCATGACCTCAGGAAGTGAGTTGTTTGGGGTTCCGATCATTTGGAGACACTCCCCATGTTAGCCATGCTCAAAATGTGTGGCCGAGTGAGAAACGTTCGAACCGAGGCACGTAGAGGTGTTGGGCCTCCGCAGAGACCTGCAGAAATCCCAGGCGCCGGTCTAACTTGTTGAGGTAAGACACGACCTGTCCGGAGACGTCCCTGGAGAAAGATGTAGAGAAAGTGATGGAATTTTGCCAGGAAGAACATCTATTTTTTGGCCGCATGCCTGTCTTTCAAGGACTTCTTCTTTCCACTGTTGAAGATTCTTCAAGAGAATTACCGTCTTAACCGGAGGCTTTGTTTTCTGTCCCCCAGCGACTTCCCCTTTTGGCATCCCACCTCTGCGTTTTGTTCTTTTTCTCTGGGATTTTTCTTTTGGTGTCCAACCTTTTGATGGTGTCCCTCGATTCAAAGGAAAGGATTGAATTTGGCTCATGGTTGGCTTCCTTTAGTTTTGCTAACCAGGCCGGTCCATTTTGAAGATACGACAGAACATGCAAAAATAGGCAGCTATTCATTTGCTTTGCTTCCGCGACCTGGCTTTGAGAGGATGTTGAATTCCTTTTATCTGGCTGTGGAGGTACCCAAAATGGAACTCTGGTAAATGGAAACATGGACTAAAACCTGCGGTCCCCTGGTGGCTAAATTTTGACCCATAATTACCCATGAACATCTGAATGTTCTTCTTAATGCGCACTCTTTTTGGGGATTTGCCGAGCGCCCACTGGAGGTTTTCCCCGTCTTCCGTTTTAACCTCTCCAAGCCGCGTGCAGCTGCGGCTCGGCAAGCGCCGCCGCAACGAGCAGCAGCCAACGCATCGGAGCGCTTGGCCGTCGGTGCCCATGACTGGGCTGTCCGCCGTTTTCAGATCCCGCGAAAGTGTTTGACGCATTTTTGGTGGGAATTCGGACGATGGCTGCAACCTGACTCATCGACCTGGCTTTGTAGGGAAAGTGCTGGCACCAGCCTGTCAAAAAACAAAGGAAAACGGCTGGGTACCTAAAGTTGTGTCTGGAATCCATTGGGTAAGGTTTGCGACGGAGCTTTTCTGCCTTTCGTTTTTGGTCAAAGGAAGAGCTCAACCTCCTGTGTGCCACATAAGGAGTTTGATTGTGACATGGTGCGGCCTGGGCTGCGAGGACATTCATGGTGCTTGGGTTGGTTGACAGTCTGTATTTAGCAAGACCAGGCAAATCGATTCTTGGCAAGAATCAATCTTGGAGATCAGCCCTGAATGATTGATAAGCCAGCAAAAGCAAGAGACCGATGGGCTGAGGATCAGCTCAGCCACTGATTGCATTGCAGTGAGTTCCTGTTGGTTCGCTTGAAGCCAATTTTTTGAAGGTACCCTCAACAAACGACACGCACGAGTCTCAGCTGACGAGACGAATGTGCTAGACTGCCTGTTTCCAAGGCAGCAAGCCGCACTGATCTCTTTTCGGGCAATGGTCGGGTCCGCATCGGAGTCCCGCTTTGCGCTGTGAGATGCTTTTCAGGACAAGAGGATTTGCCCTCGCGTGAGACTTCTTTCAAACATCTGCTCGGCACGTTGCTCCTTGAGTTGCAATTAATCAAATTGCCATCCCAAACTGGTTTTCATAGCGCTACTGCACTGAGCCTGTTCTGTGAAGTCGAACGGAGAGCTGACTTAGTCCCAGGAAATGCGAGGCCGAAGCTGGAGCACCGCAGCGCATCACGGCTTGGGCCTCACATCGGAGACTGTGCAGTGCGATTGGTCCAGCAGTTGGCCAAGAGAATCAAAATACCAGGTTCCATCTGACCAGGCGCCCTCTTTTCACAGCCAAATTCATCAAAAGCCCGAGCAAATGGATGCTTCTGAAAAGCCCCATGGCGGACTAAGTGGCAAGCAAGCCGAGGCAAAGCCGGATACTCGGAATCCATTCTTAAGGCCAGGTTGATTGAATCCGGAAAAAGGGGCCTGGGTCTCACAGGCGGCAAACCGCAAAGGCTGCGACTGAGCCTTTGAGCCGCACAACCGGCAAGGGCCGGTCTCAGACCCCCCTCGCCGCTTTGTCGATGCACTCGGCCACGTACCTCACACAGCCACTTTGCGGCAGCAACCGCGAATCCAACCAGCTCAGCTGTGCACAAGCCTCCAAAATGCTAAGCACAGCAGTCCAGTACCAGAACACAAACACGCGCACTGCCAGCCCCAGCACAGCCAACTTACCAGATCAAGACAAACGGAACCGCATCAGCACAAATATGCAAGCCACCGCAACACAGTGCAATGTGCACCTCCAAGTGGTGGCGACTCAATCATCCAAGAAAGACATGAAGGTCAAGGATTCCAAAAGGCTTGTCTTCAGTGCAGCACTTGATGAGAAAAGCACAACCATATTTCTCATCAGCTGCCGATTTGCACACTGCATCCAGGGGGCTGAACGTTGCTCGGGTTCAAGCCTGCCATGGAAATACGGCCGTCGGCCGTCCTTGGCTCGTTGCAAGCTGCGTGGCTAAGCAAATCCTAATATTAGGTTAGTCACATGGGCCTTTCCAGACTTGCTCGAGCAGGTTTCAGTCATTGTCCAAAATTGACCATTCGCAGATTGCCAGGAAGGACACGGAGTACGCTTTTTTTTTGCAGCAGCGGCACATATAAATGTGGAACTCCTCGACCATTCGCACCACCTGTTCCTGCACGCCACCCACACGAAATACGCTCTGCAATCCATTCGGCCGAAGCTCCACTGGCCCAACCACTCCCACTTGCCCAAGGGCTTGTGTCTCTCAGCTAAAATGCGGGACTCCAAGTGGGCTTCCTTTTGCTTCTCAAAACATCCGAAGTATAACAGCCTCGGTGGATTTCAGCTTGAAATCCACCTGATAGTCCGACAATACATTGAGATACATTAAGCCCAAACCACAGATTAAATCCATGCCTGAGAATCTTGGCGCAACACAAACCGGTTTCGTAACAAGCAAACCACTCCCGACCTTGCTCAAGCCGGTGAAGGTGAACATGCCAATCTGGTCCGTCACATGGTTCCAGGTCCCCGGAGTGCCCTTTGCCTCGATGGCCTCGGCAGATCTCGGGTGTGGCCTTTGTTTCGGTAAACCTGACGCTTGTGGTCAGGGAAAACCAAAAGGAAGCCCGGAATCATCAAACATCGGGGATCCCCAGTTTTAAGACACAACCTCATGTTTCCTCAGCAATGGCTGATCCTTTGCGGTTTGACGAGTCTGCATCGGCTTGGGCGAGCCGATTCGCCACGCTCTGAAGTGACACAAGCCAAACAACGAGAGCAGCAGCTCAGCCGCACCCCCCACTCCCCAACGTTGAGTTTCGGGCTATGGGCCCATGATGAAAGACAGCTTCACCATCTTGGACTTGCCCCCCTCTATTTGAAACAACCTCTCATTTCAAGACTTCAAGATCTCCATGGGAGCATCCCCAAATATCCGCAGCTTCTCCCCCCTGCCTGCCGCAATGCAACCTGCGCAGCTCGGGGCGTGAACGTCTGGTGGAAACCCTCGGGCCCTTCCCAGCCATTTCCGCACAACAATAAGCTTAACAACAAAGAACACAAACATATTGGAAGCTTAACATATTGGAAGCATAGCTCATTTTTGGGGAAGGTTTCAATGCACAACTTCATCAATTACTGGATGACCTTCAAATAGGCAACCCCGTTGTGCAACCAGCGCTGTGTTCTTTCTATTGGGAAGGTTGACCCTCATGTCATGCACGCTGCATGCAAATGGAACTGATTGCGCCTTGGACTGCACAAACCCGCGAATGCCTTCAAATGGCAACCCGAGCGATTTCCATGATCGCATCATGAATGCAGCACGTGGCCTTTTGGTTTTGCGGGTTGGTTGGCTTCTCAGACCAAGCCTCCGACCAGTCCAAATGCAGGCAAACGGCGAGCTAAATCAATAATCCAAATGGCATCGTTTTTGGAACAGAAATGTCATTGGAAACGAGAAGGCACCCGCTGGGGGTTCCCCATCCAGAGAGCACGTGTGGGTGTGTCTCTTTTTAGGATTTGGACGCAGCAATATCGGTGGTTTTCCTTTTGGCTTCCCTCCAAAACCACCAAAAGAGGGGTACCCTCAAACAGACACACCATTGGTCGCACACCCCCCCATCGGGCAAGCAGCGCGCATGTCACTGATGCGGTTGGACATGAGCGTCAGCTCCTTCAGCCACATGTCTTTCAGCTCCGGCGTTGTCAGGACCTCAGCGGGTTTTGCGGTCAGACACTACGGTTCGAACAACTCACCAAAAGCACAACATCAACCGTTGCCCCGTAGCAGGACCATCCATCCAACCAACTTTCCATTTATCCACGTTCCATGGCTCCAGGGTTCCATCAAGTTACATCCATACCCATCGATGTTCATCCACATCCATTCATACCTCACTTCCAGAGTCCAGCCCAAACAAAGTCTGAACTTTTTATTTGCCACAAAAAATGGTCCAAATCCTACCAGTGATTCAGGAAGTGAGATGCCCTTCCATACTCATCGAGCCAGGCACAAGGGACGCACATCCTGAAACCCCGTGCCTTGTTCACGATGGCTGCGCCGTGCTTAGGCGGGCTGGAGTAAGCCTAAGTGATCTGCCAGAAGGTGATCCGGAGTCGCATGCGTGTCCCCTTCACATTATCCATCCACCTGTCGTTTAACAGAATCCTCTCAAATATGCATTCTTGCCGCTGCATTTTTCAGCCTGGTGTATTGAACACCAGAAAGCAAACAACATGTTTGTGTCCCCCTATTTGGGAAAAATGCCCATATCTCAGAATCTCGTGCGATTTGGTCTATATGTTTTCTCAGATTACGGACCCCCTGTCATCAGCGCAAATGAAGCTCGTGCAACCCACTTTTTGGAGGGGTTTCTGATTCGGGAAACGCATACGCAAGTGAACCCGCACTGCGAAACCCTTTTGTTACAACCAGCCTGCGTTTCATAGCTATTTGCCCCAGCTGAAGTCAAAACCTGTGCAAAACCTCAAGGGCACAGCCTCCAACAATGGAAGCTTACAGGAAGGTATGACAAGACAAATTTACTTTCCTTTTGGGGAACCACAGTCCATTTCCGTGTTTGTTGGAAAGAAGATAGGCAGATTTGTGTGAAACGTGCATCTTTTATTGTGCATAATAATTTTGCTTGCAAAAGGCGGGCATGAAGCTCGCTGAGCCGAGGTCAGGGGCGTTAATGACTTGGCTGGGTTCAAAGTTTGGCATCTCTGGGCCCTGGCCCGTTGCGAGGAAAACGCTATGCCACTGAACGCGACCCCAAAGGTCGAGAAGTGGATGTTGCAGTTGCGCTGTTCGGCCCCTTGGAAGAAAAGAGCAAACATTTCCAGTGGGAAATCAACAATAGTCGGCAGCAAATGGAAGTGGATGGATCGGATCGATCGATCTGCCTGGCGGATAATGATCTTCAGCTGCGACAGCCTCAGCGACCAACGCATCCTTTAAGTTAGTCTCTGGTCTCACTTACGATCGAGTGGATGGCCCAAAAAAGTATCCAAACTCTTTACATACTACCAAAATGGTCCAAGCCAAACCCGAACAGTGACTCAGGAAGTGAGTGGCGTTGGGGCCTTGCTACAAAGAAATCAGGAGTGATGCTGGACAATTTCGGTTCAAACTGCAATCAGAAGTGAGGATCTCAGCCAAGTCACACAACCTCTGCAGCCTCTTTGGTGGCGCATTTCGCATGGACGTAGCCAATGCGCTCGCCTCGGAAGCTGCTCATTTGGGGTTTGCTCTCAATCACCGGCAAAGCTGGCGCATGTTGAGAGCATTTTTGCAGCAGGGGGACAGTTGAATCTTAGAAACCTGGAGTTTGACCTGAGTGAATGTGGCAGAAACAGCATATACCTTCCACTTCGGTTTTCCAAAGAGGCTGAAGTCTCACTGTCGGTAACATCAAAGGCCACGATCCTCCACGCAACTCGTGCAGCAGAGCTGCCGTAGAGCCCAAAGTTCTTGGCGAAGGACTGGGCCTCGGCGGAAATTTTGGCTTGGGGACTCCATCGCTTGTCACAAACCAATACCTTTTCCTGAGAAACCACGAACCTTTCCTCACAAACCACAGACCAATACCTGCACTGCCAAACGAAAATCGTCGCGCTCGCCAAGCAGCAATGAAGAACTCGAGGCCAGAGGAAGTAAACCTTGGCTCGTTCAAATCGCAACCTTCTCCAGAGCACATCTTGGAAACCCAAAGGGCTCATCGTTTTTCGAGGAATTCGATTTTGGGGGACTCAACCATTTTGTTTTGCGGTTTGTTGATACATGAAGGGGAGCATTGAAAACCTGATACCCGAATGACTACAAGCATGCCCAAACGGAAATGCCACTGTACTGATATGCCAGGGTCTCTCTCTCTCTCTCTCTCTCTCTCTCTTTCTTTCTTTCTTTCTTTCTTTCTTTCTTTCTTTCTTTCTTTCTTTCTCTCTCTCTCTCTCTTCTCATGATGGGCATTTCTTTGACTAGGAGTTCTTACACCGTTGTCTGGAATCCCTGGGGACCGTACCGTGTCGATCAACCCTACACATAGGAAGCAAGTCCCTGCAGGAACCCTTCAGGGTGGAGTCTTCCAATAGGAACTCAAACTAATATGAAATAGGTCGAAATCGGGACCTCTCCTGAAACCCTGGTCTTACTTTCTCCAACTACACGGCCATCCTTCTCATGGACTCCGGCAGACTCGTGGAGCGCTCCCATACAGCACAATCGTATGCTTTTGCTCTTTAGCCGCGTGTATTCGACACTACGTGGGATATCGGACAGCTAGGCGGCTGCATTTTGCTTTTCCTCCTATTTGCGGACATTTGGTTGGTGGGTGGACCCTGGGTGCAAAACCGATATTTTTCCTTCTGTGGCACTGTCGGGAGCTGCTTTACCCCAGCCTCGCTCACCAGGAGCAGATTTCAAGCGGGTACCCGAAGCTACAAGACTCACCGCGCAGGCAACCGGAAAAGTTATGGCTTGCCTGCCCCAAGAAGCGGTTCGTAGAAAAGGTTCCGAGGACTCGATGGGGAAAAGGTTAGCCAAGGGGCAGTCTCTGTGCGTAGCCATCCTTCGCCAGGTCTCCGCTTGCGTAGCCCTGGTACGCGTTGTCCAAGAGCGGGATGAGCTTTCCTCAGCCGAATTGTCGAACCACGTGCCTTACCGGCTCCATGCTGGTGGAAGGGGATTTGCCTCACTTCCTGGCTGGATGGGCCAAACGTTTTATTTACCACAAAAGTGGTCCTCCCAACAAGTATAGAAGTGCTTCTATTCGACATAAGTGCCAGACGGGTTATTTGGCCCCGGAGAAGGAAAGGGACCAATACGGTTCTACCGAACCCAAAATGAAATCTGCAAGTATTCTGAGATAACACCCTTTCGCAAGCAGAAATACGCTCACCCTGTCTGAAAACGGATCGAGCCGCCTCGCGAAGCCAAAGCATGATTGTATAGGTCCATAGATGCACTCGGGGCCTGATTTCCTATTAATTCGATTAGGGGGGAAGCAGTCAACCTTCAAACAGGTCAAATCCCCAGAAGCCGGTCAAACCCCTCCCGGCACATCCCCTCTAGAACCCCCCCTCTGAAACCCAGAAGAAAGTGGTCAAATGTCCTTTCAAAACCGCTCAAACTCCTCTCTGCCCTCTAAAGACGGGCCCAACTCTCATATCCCCCTAGGAGCCGGCCACATTCCGCCCCGGAAGCCAGTCACATTCTCTAGACATCAGTCAAGTCAACTCTCTAAAAACCGGTCGCACGAAACCGGTCAAGTTGTTCCACCTAAAAACCAGTCAAATTCCTTACGTGTTTCCTCAGGCTTTCACGCCATGTGGAAACGCGCGAACATGCACTCACCCTCCATCTTGGAAACCAGCTCGCGCAAATCGGCGCCGACTCACTCACTCAGACAAACCCAACACTTCAAGGCAAACCAACACAGTACCTCAAAGTCAGCCAAAAACATTCTGGCCGAGGCGGGCAACGCGAAGCATTTACAGTTGAGCCATAACTAACCGTGAATTAACCCACAAAATAGGGGTTCATACCGGCGGTTCTACGTTCAGCCTGTGAAAAAGAGTCGGGAATTCTGATTACCTGGAGGTCCGAATCTCATTTTGAGGGGAGAGTGGATGTCCCACTTCCTGAGTGGATTGGCCACAAAAAGTAGCCAACCTTTGTATTTATTGCTAAGCTGGCCGAACCCCCAAAAGTGGCTAAAGTCCGAAACGGAACTCGAGAAGTGAGAAATGCGGCTTCTGCCTGGGCTCTCTCCCGACATGCCGCGACGATCTCGTCCCACTGCGCTACGGTAGGGTCCACCCCGGTGGGGTTGTGCGCCACCGCCTGGGCGCTTGTTGGGTGCTGGGCAGGGGGTGTTGGGGGGCGCGGCTAGTGGGAGGAACCCAAGAACTCTTGGAAAAAGCTTGTGGAGAACTGCGGGTCTTTTGCATGTCGCTTGGGAATCCGTGCGGAGTGTCACACTGGAAGGTGAATCAAACTAACTGAGCAACCTGTTTCGGAATGTGAACACCGCCAATGAAAGGTCAGGTTGGCTTTCAGTGTTCGCTGCCCTGGGAATGTGACAAATCAAAGTCGGCTGATATCCTCGAATGGGTGCTTCACTCCCAGACATGCCGAGCCCGAGCATGTTTTATTCTTTTTTGCAAACGCCCAGGAATTCCAGGACCGTCTGATTATTTGGGCCACTGGTCATTGGACATCAGGGAATAGCCCATTCCTACTGGCGGCTGCAACCAATCTGGCAACCTGCTCGCGGGGCTGGTGCCCCAAGTTAAAAAACAAAACTTTCATTTGGCTTCCCACACAAAAAAGCAGCCCAAAGACAAAATCAGGAACACACAACCCTTGCAAGACAGCTTTATCTAAACTGGGCCGTCCTCAAATCCCCTGCTAAAAGTTTCATTTTTGGTGGGTTGAATGGTTGAATGGTTGAATGGTTGAATGGGCAACCAAAGCAACTAAAACCTGAGGGGCTGGCTGGGAACCACCAAGTAAACAACCCCAAATGACGAAAAACATCAGGAAGAAGCCCATGTCTGGTGCGATATCTGCAGCGGTGGTGCGTGGAGCAGGATGCATTCACCCTCCTGAGCAAAACTAGCCCGAGGATACCATCAAGTGACCCCCGTTCAGTGGTAGGTTTTTTTGAGAAACCACCAACCAGTATCTGACTTTCATCAAACACATATCTCCAGCAAAGGTAGCCACCTTTTGGCTTCAAAATGGGAAACCACCGGATCTCAGAAAGCCAACATGGGACATCCAAAACAGAAGGTCAAACGTTCCACTGGCAAGGGAGTGAACCTAACTCGCACGAAACGAAGCCACAGCGATGGAAACATGAAAGGGGGTGATGTCTCTTGGTGCATTGGAGAAACCCCACAATGCTTCAACGTGCAAATGCCGGTTGACGATGGGAAAGACGGCTGGTTCTAAAATCCAGGCTTTGGCCGCGTTAAACGTATGGAAACAGCTTTTCACAAAGGCAGGGCAATGGTTGGAAAGTGTCACTCTCCCTGATCTACCTGAATAGTTGACAAATCGAGGGAGGGAAAGTGCCTACACTTGCCATGGACATGGGATGGGCCACTTGGAGAAAAACATGAACACACTTGCAGTTGGGTGAAAGTAGATGGCACAATTCCTCCATTTGGGTTTGGGCCGTTTCGACCGCTGGCTCTGCACCCGGCACAGGCGGGCCATTCAAACAACCCAAACACGGCACCCTCAAAAAGACAGCTGTTCCCATGAGCCGCTTCCATGTTCCATCCTTCCAAAACCAAACAAACGGGTTTGTTTTTTCCCGGATCCCCCCCCCTGTATCCTGCAGACGCACGTTCAGTGTGTCCGGGTTTCGGGAATTACTGCAGCAATGAAGTATCAGCCACTTTCTGATACTCTGCAAAGCAACCTGGAACCCAACAGCGCGGCCTACCAAAAGATGATTCCTCTAAAGACAGGGTTGCTCCGATGGGCCCAAAGGTACAAAATTGGTCGGTTTTGGAAACAAAAGGACGCCAAGCAGTTCTTGAACCGGGCCTTGGTTGACTGTTCGGAGAAACCCTGAAAGGCGGATAGCTTTTTGGGGCTTGTTGATCCGGAGCGCTCTGAAGGTCAAACCGAACCTACCTGGAACGCTACAAATCACACTTTTCCGGGAAGCAAAGCATTAGACTACACGACCCCCGTTCACAAATCTGCCAAGGAGCTCGCAAGCTCATTTTTGTTTTCTTTTGCGCATGTTGTACAAGTCGGGCAGGGCTTGTCCTTTTTCCTTATTTTCCCCTACAAGTCAACCACTTCGACTGGGATCTGTCGCCTAAGGTTCCTCAAGTTCCTAAGCAAAAATGTCGAGAACTCCATAACTCGAACTCGAAAACTGCGAGGTTCGGTCCTGCATCTTCTGAATGCCAGCCATCATGCCCGCAAAGTCCAAGCCACGACTCTCTTGGTGCCAGTAGGGATAGGTCTCCTCGGCTCCCCCCCCGGCCGAACACATGGGCGCGTGTCTTTTAAGAGCTTGTGCTTTTTTGGCTCCACTTCCCTTCACACCATGTACAATGGCTGCCAAAAAAAGCTGCGCAAAGCTAATCCCTGCTAAACGGCAAACAGGTTCATTCTTCTTCCTTCAACACAGAAGTCCTCTTTTCCACGTGAAACTGGGCTTATACATGTACTCAGTGGAAACGATGATTTCCCGCTCAACTTTTGGCTCTACAGTGATACCAAAGTTGATTCTACTCTTTTGCTTTTGAAAGGGGATTCACTTATTTTCCAGAGCCCTGTTTATGATGGTTCGTTTCGGCTTTTCTATAATCCCCCATCCCGTTGACTTATTTTCACAACCATGCTTACGATGGTTCGCTAGGCCCTACTTTTTAACCCCCATCCCCGTTTAACTAGCTAGGAGGACCTTGTGTGGGCTCTGTACAGTTGCACGCTGGAGGCCGTGTGCCTCAAGTCTGTAACGCATGTTTCTTCCGAACTTCGCTCGCTTCTCTTTGACTTGTTGAGGGAGAAGACCCAAGCTGCTGAAGGAACACTCTCAATCAACGTCACGTTTATCGGCTCGTTTTGTGGCTCCTCAAGGCTTGACAACAGACAACAATAGCCCGTTAACTCTTGCTTTGAACAATTACTCCTCTGCGAATTCTGCCGAAGGCAATGTGAATCGTTCCGCAAATTCATCAGACTTTCGCAGGCTGTGGACCGATTGCAAGTCGTGGTTTGCTTTTGTTGCTGGGTTTGTCTCAAAATAGTGGACCCCCATATGGGGGTGTTCTTTTGGTCTCCCTTGCAACCAGCCCCAAAACGTGAGCCCTCAAAAAGACACGCCGTGGACAAGCCGAGCTGAAGACATGTGCGATGGTCCAGCGGCCCAGTTCTCTAAGAACAAACACTGTCACAGGAAATTCTGAAACCAGAGCTTCCTCAAACAGCAAGTTTGAGATGGTCATTTGCGGTCTTCCAAGGCTACTCTTCTTGCAGAAGTTGGTTGCGTTCACTTCCTTCTCCGAAACTCAAGAAATCCGACCAAATTCCTCACATCGCGACCCGACCTAAAAGGGCCGAGAGTCGTACTCCAGGAGGGCGCGAGCGAAAATCTTGGGATGATTGCCCCAAGTCGGATTCGGGCCCCACACCTGGCCGTTCAGCTTCCCAAGGTGGTTGGAGCCGAATCCGTGTGAAGCCCCATTTACTCTCTACAAGCCCAAATCAAGTCTAACCCTCCCTTTCGAGATTGTTCTCCAAAGGATGTCTAACAACCATTGAAAAAGCACGGCTTATTTGCCCCTCATCTTTTGAAGGGCTCCCTGGCAAATGCACCACTCAGCTTGGTCCCTGAGCTTCCTGGTATTTTGGACTGACGCAAATGAAGTGAACGAGTTCTACACCTGGCTCGTGTTTGTTTTGCTTCATGGCAAGAGCATCGGCTGAGTCCATCTCTTATTCGCTTGAGATTCTGGGGGACTGTCAAAGGACTTCCCCCGGAGGGTTTGATGAATCCAGAGGGCACGCTGCCAGCACGACGCGTTCGTATTTTGAAGGCCAAATCCTTCAAGGGTCCCAATCTAATTGGACGGCTGTGTTTTTTCCAGCTCGGGTCCCAAATGCGCCTTCTTGACTCCCATGAACTTCAGGAACTGCGCAATCACCTGCAAAGAGCCAGTGCCGGACAATGCCTGCGCAGTGGCGATGCAGCCACCTCAGCTATCCGAATGGGCAACGGGCTGTCGTTCAAGAGAAGCTAAAAACACTCAACTTCAGTTGAAATCCAAAACATTTGTTGTCAGACGTTTTAGGAGGCTATCCCTGTCAAAGACAAACCACCCAGAAATATGGGGAATATGTTTTGTTTGCCCTCCCTCCAATCATGGACGTAGACAGGGGGGTTTGCCCAAAGGAAGCTGGTCTTCCAATAGCCTCGCGTCAATGTTGTCTCTGTGTGTGTCCCGTTTTTAGAATGGACCCAGAAAAACCATCCACAGCCTCATGTTTGGTATGCCCCCTGGCTTCCGACCCTTGGCATGTCGGCAAGCTACTTTGACCTTTGCAGCCCCCATCACAAAAAGAGCACACAAATCCACACAAATCACCGAAGAACAAGACCAAATAAACTTCAACAAACAAAAAAAACACAAACAGGCACAACACAAGCACAACAGTACACCGCAACAAAAAGCCACAAGAACTCTGAAGCCATGAACCGTGGCTTCCCACATGGCCGAGGATCTGTCGATGACGCTCTGGTCGAAGAGCAGCCTCAAGACAAGAAAAAAGGTGTGAGGATGCACCAAGGGTACCTGCTATGTGAAAACAGGAGTCTGTCGCCTTTTTGGATACCCCACTGCCTTCCTGAGTGGATTGCAAAACAAATCAAAGCTTTTACTTACCACTGAAATGGCCTGCCCAAAAAGCTTCAAGCCCAAAAACTCGAAAAGTGAGCCCAACATTGGGGTGGTATTGATTCAATCCAAAAGGAACGCCGCCAGATCCTTAAAGAGACGAGCCGCCCTGGCAAGACTGACTCCAAATCCATTTTGGAGTTGCCAAGGTCAAAGATGGCAACCGCTTTTGCAAACCAGGCGGCTGTTGCACCGGCAACTTGTTCTCTGGCTTGCCATCAATCGGCTGGTACTCCTGCAAGCGACAAATCCCTGGCCAAGCCTCAAGGAAGCCATTTAAGTGATGCACTGGACTTCAAACCTGTCTGGCACATCAACGCACAGGATGCTTCACATGGCTGAGCGGCTTTTGCCGTTGACAAACGCTGTTTTTCACGGTTGGCCGATCGAGCATCGATCAGGCCTTGTCTTGCGTAGTGTCCAAGACGACCTCCGCTTGAATTGCCCGAACCCCGCTGAAAACAGTCTCAGCGGGTTGGGTTTTGTCTACCCTTTGAGGGTATGACTTGTCATCTAGGAACGGCTTGCTTGTGTAAAGCACCCGCCAGGCTTGTGTCATCTTGGATTCCACCCTCGGGAAAACCAACCAAACTCCTTAAAATAGTGCTCCCCACGCGGAAACTTCCACACTTGGCTTGGAACACTCTAAAAAGGCACCCTAAGGACAGGCTTTTATTTATCCCTGAAGGCTCAATCCAATTGCGCTGGTTTGCTTCTTGCCCAAAGGCAATTGGCTGTTTTGGGACCCCTCCAAAAGACCATGGGACACATAAAAATCAGATTTGGTCGATTCGCCCAGAACCTGTGCTTCTCTCCTAATTCTTGATCAAACAGCTCAGTGTTGGCCCCCCCCCCTTTGGCGGACATCAATTAGGTGGGGATTGATGTGCACCAACCCTCGTAAGGTCCCATTTCAATTTCACAGCCATGTGAAAAGCAACGTCCACGTGCCCAGTTTGGGTGTGGGCAGGTAGCCGTCACTTGGGACTGAAATCCACTGCAAAAGTCCTCCAACCACTACACCCGTTTTCTCCTGGAAAACCGCTCGGTCCCAAAACCAGCCAGGCCGGGAACACGTAAGTGGTAGGTTGAAGAGAGATCACCAACCATTACGTAAGTGGTAGGTTGAAGAGAGATCACCAACCATTGTCTGACTTTGATAGCCCCCAGGAATGATCAAAACCATGATTCTAGTCTCTACGATGTTTTTTTGAGGGGGGAGGGCAATCCATTCTTCACGTTTTCACGTTGATCTGTAGGGTTCAGAATGCGGTCCCTGCAAGGTTCGTCCTTTGATTTGGGTTTCAACCTTCCAAGAAACTCCCCACCAATTTTCCACATGGGGAGAAAAAAAAACCCTTTTCGGGTTGACCATCCACTTTAAGCGCAAAGAGAAGACGCAGAGGGGGCTGAACTGGGATCCTTGTGTCTAAAATCTTTGCTTCCATCATAGTCAAAGCGCGACGGGAGATGGCACCAAACGTCGGTGCCACCCTCAAAATCGCCTAATGCGTTGTTGCCCCACAAATTCTGTGCATAACATACCCTTGTTGGTAGGTAGTCCAGGAGGGTCCTTTTTGCCAAAATTCTGAGTAACCTGCCCTTTTCTGTCGGTAGTTTCAGGGCCCAGGCGGTCGCTCCCGGGATCATCTGGGGCTCGAAATTTGGCTCGACTCGGGCCCCGGGCCAGCTTTTCGGCCTCAGCCACGGAGGGCAAGATCCAGGGCTTGCCCTCCGCTGTGCGGTAGGCGCCCACGCTCAAATTCACCTCGCGCGACGCGACGCGACGCGGCGCGAGGGCGGAGGGACATCCGAGATGAGATGCGAAGAATTTGTCCAGTGGACTGTGATTTCAATGATGTGTCGAAGTCGGGGAACTGCAAAATGGGTCTCCTTTTGGTTCCCTTAAACAACTACCCGAAAAGGGATCCGCCATTCTGTTTTGGAAGACGCACGCTTTCCTTTTGGGCACTTCCATGAATGGACCGTGAGTGAGACATGCTGCACCTTCACAGCCATACATCTTGCCGGGAGAAGAGGCCCGCTCCATGTTGACTGGCTGATGCTAAAGAGCGAAGGGCAGTGAGCAAAAAGCGAAAACGGCTTGGTTGACGTTGGAAGGGGAGCAAACATTTGAATTTTCGCAGTTGAGTGGGAATTTCCCACTAAACCACAATAAGCAAAAATGCAAAATGTTTCCCAACAACAATCATGAAGAAATGCCAATGACAACAATTGGAAGGGACCAAACACATTCGGCAGCCTGGAGCCTTATTTCGGGGGAATCCAAAGGTCAACCTGCAGGCAAGGGCGAGAAACGTGCGGCAGCCGAAAGCTGGAACTGCAAACCACGGAGGTTGTTGTAGCCCCCCCTCTGCAAAAAGTGATTACCTTTTGGTGGGTCCAAAATTCCACAAAGTTTTAACCAAAAAAGTTGAAGTCCAAAGATCTGCTACCAAATAGCTGGACCCTCAAACTACCATACAAAGGAAATTCATCAAGTATAAGTTTGCTTGGTCATAACTCATTTGTAAAGGAATTTGCCGAAGAAAAGGAACCGGGCGAACATCTTGCGACAGAAAAAGCAGGCGCAAGCCTGCCTGGCACTGTAAACCACAAATCACACCAAATGATGACCTCGGTTTTCAGGGAGTCACATTCATGGGCTCAAAGGAGGAATCTCCACTGTTGGAACATCGTCAGTGAAGTTCACCCCCGGCTCAAGAAACCCGCATGCGTTCCCCAAGTCGCCATTTGGAGCTTCAGAGAGATAGCGCAGGCTGTGGCTGGGAAGCAAGTTAGAAACACGAGAAAAACAGGGGATGCCTTTCCCTTAATAACTTCCATGGGATTGTTGATTGGATGTGTGGTTGGGTGTGGATAGTAAGTTGGTTGGTACTATTGAGCCCTGAGACATGTCAACCTCCCATTGACTAAGGATCTGCGAATAGGGCTGCGTCACGCATCAGGGCCTGATAGTCACCAAGTCTAGGAGTGAATCGCCCCAAATCTGGAGGAGATCTGTGTGAAGGTTGACCCAGCCGCTGACGTGAGCCGTGAGCTTATGTCAAACATTGGCAGGGCAACGGTTGCCTTCTGGTCTCCTTTCTCCCATCGGGAATCGCTTTGATCCGTGCCTTCTTCTCACTGGTGTCGGCCTTGAACCGACCAACCAGGCCCAGGATGGGGTCCGCAGGCGCCTGAAACTCGAGTTGCGAACGGCGAAAGGACCTTGACTGAAACACACACAACATGGACCAAACAAGAAAAGCCCAAAAGGTTAGGTCGATTGTACAAAACTGAGCAGCACGCATCACCTACTGTCATCCTACAACCTACAACCCAGAGTAGGCAAAGGGGCTTCCAACACTAGCTGGAATCGTCCACGTTGGAGGAACCCTTTCACAGGTTCCCCCCAAAACTGGGATGGATTTGCATCAAGCTGGCTGCTGGGAGCCGGATTGGCTTCGGATGACCCGAGCAAAATGAGTCGCGTGGTCAGCCCTGAGCACCCCACCCCCCCTGAAAAAAAGAAAACCCTCACTGGACACCCTTCTGGGTTGCTTGATTTGGAAAGCACCTCCACAAAACTGCTTTCTTCTTCTCCGCCCTGACCAAAAGGTGGATCACCTCCTGTAGGTGTAACGGAAAAACCCGTTTGTTTGAAGGCTTTTCCAGGGCGATTCGCTCACAAAGCCCAGCCATAGAACCGCAAGGGCATGGGATGTCAGGCGGGTACGCCTGGCCTTCGGCACGCTGGCGAAGATGCTCATGATTGAAACCTGAGCCGCAGACCACGAGCATCTGGCTGTCCGTTCGGGTGATTTTCAGGGAAAGAAGCCTTTGGGTTTCTGGGCTGTCCTCAGATCCCCTGCTAAAAGCTTAACTTTTAGTGGCTTAGGGAAGACTACCACTAAACCCCACAAACCTAAAAACCTAAGGAATTGGCTGGCCGGGAGCCACCAAGGAGTGTGTGTGTGTGTGTTTCCAGTTGGAGAACCCAGGGAAACCAGCTAGGACGGCTTTTTGTCTGATCCGACAACATGCCAGGGGAACTCCTGTGACAAGGAGGGTTAACCTGGGTATAGGTCACAAATCCCAGGTTGGTGAGGTTGGGTGTTGTCTTCCAAGTCAAGTCGCTGAGTGGACCTCACTTCCGATCGAGCAGATTGGCCAGAAACGTCTGAACCTTTGGTGTACCGCGCACTAAAATGCTCTTCATAAAAAGCGTAAAGCCCAGCAACTCGGGAAGTGAGTTTGACCACCGGGGACTTCTTATCTTATGGGTCCATTGGGTCGGAGTGCTCCAAAGCAAAGGGTGTGCTCCACTCCCTTCACGTGCGGCATGCCGCGGGATGCCGAAAGTATTGCAGCTCACAAGGAGTCAGGCTGAGATAATCTCTTCTGATTGATCCGAGGAAGCCTACTCTTCGCGTCTGGTCCCCTTTGGGGGGGGCTTATATAACACCGATTGATGATTTCCGTCGTAGACTCTTAGTAACTGTTTTGATGATTTCCGTCGTAGACTCTTAGTAACTGTTTAGCCAACCATGTTGCTGACCAAGAATAAACGTGAACCGTAGCCGTGGACAAAAGGAGACGCGACAATCTCACACACACACACACACACACACACACACACACACACACACACACACACACACACACACACACACACACACACACACACACACACACACACACACACACACACACACACACACACACACACACACACACACACACACACACACACACACACACACACACACACACACACACACACACACACACACACACACACACACACACACACACACACACACACACACACACACACACACACACACACACACACACACACACACACACACACACACACACACACACACACACACACACACACACACACACACACACACACACACACACACACACACACACACACACACACACACACACACACACACACACACACACACACACACACACACACACACACACACACACACACACACACACACACACACACACACACACACACACACACACACACACACACACACACACACACACACACACACACACACACACACACACACACACACACACACACACACACACACACACACACACACACACACACACACACACACACACACACACACACACACACACACACACACACACACACACACACACACACACACACACACACTTGGAAGCGAGCACATGGGCAAAGGACAAGCAACACCTCTGCCAACCATGCAACAACAAGGGACCCGCCAAAAGGTAAAGGGTCTCCGGAGGAGTACGGTCCTCTGGATTCATCCGAAATGAACTCAAGCCTTGGCCCGCTGTTGGCCCGCTGTTGCCACCAATCAAGCCAAGGAGCGGAAGACAAGCGCGGGGGGACCCTACAAGATAATGGCTTGAGCTGATTGTGCGAGGAAAGTGCATTTTGATTCCCTGCATCTGGCCCCATCTCAACAGTTGTAAAAGCTACCCATGTGCCAAACTTTGACAAGCCCCCCAAACTGTGAAACTCAGGAGCCCGGTATAAATCCGGCTGATGCAAGGTGCTTTGAAGCCGCGCCTGCAACATGTTCCAAGTGGCCCAGCACCCGGTGTTCGAAGTTCCAGCCCACTGCTTGTTCAAGTCACAAAAAGCGCATGGCTGAATCCAAGGCAAGGAGTTTTTGGAGCCACCAACACCGGGGCGTTTTCTTTTTGGTCCGACCTTCGTCCAAACTTTGGCAACTGGTTGTTAACTCATGGAGCCGTCGCGGCTTTTTTTTCTTTTGCCCCCACTCGAGCTGGCTGAGTCCATCAGCGTCCTGGCCAAGGCGACCGGAAACCCTGTGTCTGCATTCAACATCTAGCAGGAATCAGTTTTCGCTTCCAAAGGAAGATGGAGTATAAAGCCTTCAGAAAGTGTCGATGTATGTAGTGGAAAGCCTGTTAGAAGCAAGCCGCCCAGCTGGAAGTGGGGGGCCCTTTGGTGGACATCGTTCAAGCGGAAATGCTGCCGTCCAGCCATTGAGGGTGTTGCATCAAACATCTTTTTTACCAATCCAAATCCGCGCCGCGGTTAGTTAGAACTGCCTGAACCATGGTCATTGCTCATATCTGCTGCGAAGCTCGTCAAACATGAAGATGAACACGTTGAGTCTGTTCTTTCTTGTGCACTGCTTTTCTGGGGAAACAAAACAAGGTGGGATCCGGGGATGTGAACAATTCTGGGTCAATTGGATCCCAACACACCGGATCTGCCATGTGAATGAGTTCTGTTGGAACGCAAGTGTGTGCGACATGTACTTCTTGGGTTTGACGAAAGGGCTCCTCACTTATTTCCCTCACACCCCAGGAAACTTTCTTTTGGCCCAAAAAGGTGATGTTTCAAACTGCCAAAAGGGGAACTGAAACTTATTTCCCCTCTGAACCCCCCCCCCCCCCGACAAACCGCAATCTTGGCGAAATGGGCGTGTCTTTTTTTAAGGGGACTCTCCAAAATTGTGGCTTTCCTTTCGGTTGCCCTTTTAAAACCACCAAAACAGGGGACCCTCAAAGCCAGACACACCCCAATGTTGGGCATCAACCCTCCATAAGAACCGCCCACCTCAGCCAGCAAGGACTGCAACTCTTCGGCTGGAGCGTTGGGAGCCTCGACAACAACGCTGGTGGATTCACCGGGCAGGCAATCTCTGGGTGTGGTTACCCAAGCAACCCGGGCCGGCGGGAAATCTTTATTGACCCAAATGCAGGGGCCGCCGGATTTTCCCTTCACAAGTTGCATTTTGTAGTTGAAACTGCCACTTTTGCCACTTTGGGAGGCTTCAAAAAAGGGAAATGGAAGAAATCCTGAAATTGGATGCCCCCCAAACCCGTGAGACTCCAGGAAACCAAGAAACTTCAGGGGGGAGTTTGATCCCAACGAAGGCAAGGTGCTCTTTCATTCTTTCAAGGTGGCTCTACCAGTGTTCACCTTTTACAGCAGCCAATTAACATTGACATTTGGTCTTTTTGTCAAGTGAGATCCTTCACTTTAACATTCCATGGATCTTTGTTTGGAAAAAACATGTGGCGAACCCCGAAGGCATGTAAATCGGTTCTTTGACAAACATAGGGGGTATGGGAAGATCACGATGGTTTCAGGTCCTGCGGTCCCCTGAAGAGACTGACTTTTAGTGGGTTAAATTCGGGAATCCAAGCACTAAACACTAAAACAAATCCAGTTAAACTGGGCTTGGCACCAAGATCCTTGGTGCCAATGGGGCCAACCTGCAGGTTTTCTTTGGGACCATTTCGACCGGGGATCTGGGGCAAAGGCCAAGGCTTCGGCCGACGGTAGATCCAAAGCCTGTCAAGGCTGGTGCGCCCGAAACACAGCTGCTGGTTCTGAGAACAAGTTCGCCAAAAGAAGCTTAAGAAGAACCTGGGCCCTCAAAGTAGCAATAAAAAGGGGAACTCACCAGCTACAATGTTGGGGCAGCAACCAATTTTTAAGGGAATAGGTTACCACTGTTGGGAATGAACCGGAAGCAAACACTATAGGGGATGGTTTTCTCATTCCCTGCAGAGAACCAGCAAGAAAGAAGCTTAACAAGAACTTCCGTACTGAAACTACTTGAGTGTGTTTTCTTTGAAAAGACACGCGCTGGGAGTGAAAAAGCCTGAGAAGAAAAAAAAAGGTGAGCAGGACAACATGTTTTACTTTCGCGGAGTAAGAGAGAGACAGATGGGGTAAAAGAGACAAAGAAAGAGAGAGAGAGAGAGAGAGAGAGAGAGACAAAGAGCGAGAGGAAGAGAAACACGGAGAACAAAGCCTGCGCCAAACTATAGTTCTTATATGGTTGAAACGTGCGCCCGCGGCTGGGCCTGACTTTACTGGTAAAGGTTTATGTAGGGATGACGCGGGAGTAACGAGTAATCCCTATTAACTAGTTAAACCAAGTAGTTTAGAAGCAGCTCAAGTGGCCAAGCGCCCCAGAGGAATGGTTCCCTGAGAGTTCCTCCATGTTCCTCCCATTCAACTTGATCGGAAGGGCAACTTGGGGGCATCAACGGAAACTGAACCATCTTTTGTGGTGGAACATTGCTAAACTGTGACCAAATTGAGGTGCAACCATTGATGTACTGGCGCCAGATGAGAGGTTTTAGATGAATTCGATTTGAAAGGGAACGTCTGACACAAGCTTGAAGCGAGGAAACTGCCCTGAAGGTCAGCCATTTCCCTGTTGGCTTCAAGTCTTAGAGGAGCATTGTCAGGGGAACTCCGCTTTCTTGCGCCTTGTCAGCTTCTTGCCGCTCCTTTTGCTTTTCTTACATCGAACATCGGCCACCTTTACCAGTCCCGACCATCTGTTCTCTGTTCGTGAATCCGAGACGACAAAACCTGCCAACACAATGATATGTTTCAGGAAAGCCGATGTCACACGGCTTTCCAAAGACGACACACATCCACCAATTCAGCAAGCGGAAGTCTCAAATCTGCGAAAGGTGCAAGCCCTTAAGCTAGCGGGCGACCCTGCCAAAGCGCTGTGTGCTGGTGCAGTTAGGGGATTGTTCCCCCCAAAATACCGCTGGAAAACCTAGGCTTCATCACCCTAGAAAAAGTGAAGCTTTTACCGCTGATGGCTGGCTACGCTACTGGACTAGGTCAACTTCTCGATTTCCGCATCGGCATGGTTCGCAGCCAGGCGAATGTCCGAGCATTGCTGGAGAGACACGAGAAGACGGCAAGCGCCGTACGTGGACCCCAAAGAACACGAAACGCCAACAGGGACAACCTATAGCGAGAAGCAGCGGGGATGGGGCCTCGGGAGCATGATGCGCCGAGGCCGAAGGCCAGGAAGGGAAAAGGGGCACCATCAGGGAGGGGATACTCCGAACCTTGGCACAAACTAAGCCTCGCAACCACAAAGCAGTAGCCGGGCTTGGGTAAAGGGAAAACCTTCCGCAGTTCCAAAGTGAAAGCCCACTGCACACCGTTGCGGTCAAGGTAAGGCTCAAGACAAAGCGGATCCGCAACCACTGGTTGAAGATCCACAGACCTCTGCCGATGAACTAGGTTGGCCCGAATGTGCCATTCATGAAGCACCCCTGCATGCAAAGTGCAGCACAAAGCAGCACACAAGCAACAGCATGGTGCTCGTCCATCCCCAGGAGCTCCACGTGTCGGAAGGGACTAGGACCGCCCACTGAGAAGTGGCAAAGATCCAAAAGGCATGGCGAAAAAACCTCTGCGAAGAATCGGGCATCCCCAACGCCCGTGGCATGCGACTCCGGGATCAGCCCAAAGGGAAGGCAAAACTGGGCAAGCAGCCTGGCCGCCGCGCGTGAGCGCACGTGAAGCTAGAGCAAGAGAACCTGCCAAGATGGGCCAATTGGGAGCAGGGGAGGAAAAGGACGAAGAGAGAACTGCCACTTGCAAACCATGTTCATGGCACCGTTCGAGGGAAGATGAGAGAGGGACACCGCCACTCCCCCCACCTTTCGCCCACGGCTCCCTCAGAAGGAATCAACAGAAACCACAAGGGATGTTTGGTAGGGGGTCATTCCAAATCATTCCCTGACCAGCAAGACTGGGCTGTCCGTTTTCAGTTGCCCTGCTAATCGTCGCAGGCTATCGGGCAAAAGTCTGTCGTAGCGCTGGGCCCCCGGCGGCAAGAACCACGCCGGCCACCGTGAGAAAAGCGCCTCCCAACTGGGAATCGGATTCCCTTCTTCCCCCCGCTTCCCCACACATTCGCTTCGAAACCCAAGGGACCCCTGCGCTTCCCAAACCAGATCCAACCCAAAAACACTTTTGGGCTCCGAAAACGGAACCCTAAAACCCAACAGTGTCGACCATCCGAGCGCGGATTGCCCGGGAGGGCGGACTTTGGTGGATGGTCCGAACTGGTCACAAGCTAAGCACGGCTGGCAGGTCAGCCCAAATCGTTTGGTTGGTTCTGATCTGAATGTAAACAAACCAGCGTGCAGTGCGAATTTCGAAACCTAATGAGACGTCCACATACGCACAAGCGTTGCCATTTTGGGGGTGTGAGATGACGAGTAGCCCTGGAAACACACAGTTTTCTTCGCCTGGTTTGTTGGATTGTCCGGTCATCCCGCCCAGTAGATTACATCCAACTGGTCTAATGCATTTCCAACAGACAGACCCTGCCAGGAGAAACTTGAAAAGTGTGACATGGGCGTGTCTTTTCGGGGCTGGTTTAAACGGGATCCAAGAGGACTCCCCCTAGCTTTTGGTGTGTCCACCTTTAAGACAAACCCAAATGGTTGCCATTCAATTCCCGTGTCACTCCGGGCAGCCTGCGAGCCAAAGCCTGGAAAAGCTGTGCTCCTTCAGAAGCACCTCAGAGACATCACTGCAGGGACAGGGGCAAAAGGACTTGAACCCTTCATTCGGGGGAACACCACATGGATCTGTCAGG